CGCCGAGGCCCCGATGCTCCCGGCCGGGCAGGGCCCCCGGGGCCGCCGAGAACGAACTCACCTTCACGAAGCTGTCCGCGTCCGGGAAGCCCGGCAGCACCATCTCGCCGTCCGGTTTCGTAGCGCTGGGCGCCGCCTGGCTCTTGGGCTCCCGGGAACTGGGGGGCGCCATCTTTCCGGCTTGCGCGGCTCTTCTCGCGAGATTCTGCGGCGTGAGGCGTGCGCACTACGCCTGTGCGAGCCCCGGCGTGAGGGGGTAGTGTTTTGAGCCGCTCAGTTAGCAACTTTATACCTTCTATAGCCGGGCGTGGTGGAGCACGCCTATAATCTCAGCATTTGGGAGGCTGAGGCAGGAGGATGGCTGCGAGTTCGAGGCCAGCCTGGGCTATACAGTGCGTTCAAGGGCAGCTTGAAATACATAGGGAAACCCTGACATCCCCAAAAAACTTAAAAAAACCAACAACAACAAAACTTCAGTAATCTCATAGTGTGTCGTCCTACTAAATCCTGTGACCGTGGGTGGGCCCTGGAGGACCCAGGTCCCCGTATATTGAAAGCCAGCATCTCCCTACTTCCCCTCTACAACAGCTTACCACGGCCTGATCTGATGGTGCAGTTTAAGGAGTTCCCCACTTTACGGCCACACAATCATTCCGCTTTGCATTGAGAATAGCGTATCTTTTTTAAAAGGGGTGGGTTTTTTTTTTTATAGCCAATGCTTCATTATAAAAAAGCTCCGTCTTTGGGCTGGGGATTTAGCTCAGCGGCACAGCGCCTGCCTGGCAAGTACAAGGTCATGAGTTCAATTCCCGGTACCGGAAAAAAACCAAAAAATAAAAAAAAAATAATAAAAAGATAAAAAAGCTTCGTCGGAAAGCATGGTGCATGCCTGTAACCCCTGGGGATCCTTGAGGAAGGAGGATTGCTGAGAATTCGAAGCCAGCCTGGGCTACATAGTGAGTTCAAGGCCAGCCTGAAATACACATCGAGACCTCCCTCTCAGAAAAATAAAAACCAAGCCGGGCGTGGTGGCCTATGCCGGTAATCCTAGCATTTGGGAGGCTGAGGCAGGAGGATTGGTGCAAGTTCGAGGCCAGTCTGGGCTACATAGTGAGTTCAAAACAGCCTGAACTACATAACAAGGCACTGTCTCAACAAAACAAAAAACAGAACAAAAAAACCCAAACCACAACAAAAATATTTGTTAGAAGGTAGCTGTGGACCAAAGGAATACAGGAAAAAAAAATACTTCACTTAACTGAGAAGGATTTTCTTTGGAAGAATATTTTAGGCATGCTGGGGGAGTAGATCAGTGTAAGGGGCTCCTTGCCTAGCATGTGTGAAGCCCTGGGTTTCACCCTCAGCACTGTTGAAACACAAAAATCATATTTATCTAATCAATCACTTATCATCGCTGGGCATGGTGCGCACACCCGTAATCCCAAAGCTGAGCTCGGTGCCTATGCTCCCTTGCTGCCATGAAAGTCCCTACGGGCTGCGGCTGACGGCCCCCACCCCACGGCTTCATTCCAGGCCGCCAGTGGAGCCAGCCCCCATTGGGCCTCTTCTCCCCGCTCCACGGGGTGGGCTTCTCAACTCACTCTTGCTCGGCAGGCTCCACCTGTCTGGCTCAGGACCCCGAGGACAGGGACCGTGGCACATACTGAACATCCCCATGTCCTTCACAGTCCCCGGTACCAGCTGCTTACCAACGTTCCATGTTGAAGGAATAGATGCTTCCGTTATTTTTTTATTTACTTTTGCACTGCTGAGAAACAAGCCCGTGGCCCTGTAGTCGAGGCAGGTCTCTCTTGCTGAGCTGCACCCCCAGCCCAGGGGTTCCTTTTCGAACTAATAATTACCAACAAAAAGGCATTCACACAAGTCTTTAAAATTCTGATGTCATTTATTGGCACAAAAGTTATTCAGATACAATGTGGTGTCTACGCGTGGCTACACTTCACACTGTGTGCATTCAGCCGAGTATTTGCTCGAATTCCCAATGCGTCCCAACCTGTCGCTGTCCGTGTTCAGCACCTCCGGGAGGGCAGTTGTGTGTGGAGCTCCTGCTCTAAACACAGTGTGCTCAGACCCCGCCGGGACACTGCCATGTTCCCCAGGGTCCCCGGCCGGCCACGGCCTCGAGACATCTGAATGAACTCCCTCCTGGCAGTTCGGGGCTCGGGTTGAAGTGTGAGTCGCAGCATCCCTGGGTCAAGTAGTGACAGACCCTGGCCACCCGTCTCGGTCCACCCTGCGAACGTTGCCGGCGGCGGGGGACCAGTGAGGTAACAGCATATATGGGCGGCGACAGCAGCTTCTTCCGCTTCCTTCGGGTCCAGGACCCCGACCGAGGCCTCCTCCGTCCAGCCTTCCTGACCGCGGCGACTCTGCTGTTCCCACACTGACACCCAGAGGAGCGGCCTGGTCGTTCTTCGGCCCGCAGACGCCCACCACGAGCTCCGTGAGAAGTCAAACCCGTATCTCTAGTTATGGATCTCCTGTTCCCAGTCTGTGGCTTGATGGGTGTGGTGTGGCTGCGAACCAGATCAAGCCTGTGTTTCTGACAATATCTTCTACAACAGCAGCTAGAAAGTTGGCTCAAGCCAACTTTCAATGTACAGTAGTTCTTTTCATTTACATTCCAAAATACGTAACACGCTTCGGCTTTCCGACTGTGGTTTCGCTTTAGTGGAAGCAGAGACCAAAGCAGAAAGGCCCTGGAGGAGACGCCGCGGCTGCTGGGGCTGCCATTACCAGAAGGGACACCTAGGAAGGCGGGCGGCAAGGGAGAGTTAGTCACTGAGGTGGAGAGGCCAAGCTCCCACTGCCCTGGGGCACGGCCCGAGCGCTCTCCTGACTAAGGACTGATCCTGTGGAACACACAGCGTCTCCAGCCCAGGCTGACGCGGCCATCCCCCTAGGATGCGTCCCTGCACCCTCTCCCCTGCCTCCCAGGCTCAGACAGTGTATCAAAGCTACCTCTACAACCCCAGATCACACATTTATCTGTCTCATTTTCCTCTCTCTGTTACCACTCTGGCTTCTCTTCCAGTGCCCTTCCTGTATCTCTGGAGTGACAGCAAAAATCCAGCAGAAGCCGGGTGGGGTGCACACTTATAATCCCAGCACATGGGAGGCTGAGGCAGGAGGATTGCAGTGAATTTAAGGCCAGCCTGAACTACACAGCAAGACCTTGTCTCAAAAAACAAAACAAGCCTGGGCTACAAAGTGAGCTCAAGGCTAGCCTGAACTGCACACTGAGACCCTGTCTCAAAAAAAACAAAGAGAAAAACAAAAAAAACCCAAAAAACAAAGCAAAGCACCAGCACAACCCTTCACAAGCAAAGAGCCTTGACTCTTCTAAACCATTGCTCTAAATGGAACTTGAACTTCTGGCGCTTGCCTTCCAAACAGGCACCCCAAGAGAACGTGTGGTGAATATAAACTTTTCAAGAGGTTTGAACCTCTGAACCCTTAACTGTCCTTTCTGGCTACCTTTCGGTCTTCTCTCTTCTCTGTGGGGCCTTGGGTGGGGCGCTCCATGATTTTTTTCCAGGGATTGTATTTAGAGGTGCTTTACCGGTAAGCCACACTCCAGCCTTTTTAATTTATTTTGAGACAGGGTCTCACTAAGTTGCCCAGCTTGGCCTTGAACTTTTGATCCTCCTGCTTCAGCCTCTAGACTGGCTGGGGTTACGGGTGGGTACCCAGCTCTCACTGCTGATTTTAGGCAAGTTTCTCTGTGATGCCCACTCACCAGCCAATGTAACACTGGCAGAGGTTCTCGTGGGACGTTGCTTGTTTGATGAGCAGCTCAACTTGCGTTGGGACGTCCAAGGTGTCGTCGTGAGAGAAGTCCCGGCCTAGGAAGGAGAAACAGGACCCCTGGATTCTCACCAGTACCGGCACACTCCCATGTCTCAGCAGCCCAGGGAGCTGAGCCTGACACACACGTACGCTGGTCTTGTGTGGTAAAGGCCGCTGAACCCAGGGCCTCACACTCCTCAGTCCAGCCTCTCCCCTGCATAAACCATCCATGACATTTATCTTTCTGAGATAGGGTCTTGCCATGTAGTCTAGGCTGGTCTTGAACTTGTGGTGATCCTCCTGCCTCTGCCTCCCGAATGCTGGGATTACAGGTGTGCACCACCATGCCAAGCCTCGAGGCAGGGTCTTGATATGTTGCCCACGCTGGTCTTAAACTCGTAGGCTCAAGTGATCCTCCTGCTTCAGCCTCCCAAGGAGCCGGGACTGCAGACGTGTACCATCCTGCCAGGCTGGCTCAGGAGTTTTAACCTCAACCCCCAGCCCTGCCCACTTCTCTGAAGCTGTTCCAGGCAGCGGTCAGCCTTATCACAACCCTTAGGTGGTCACCAGTGACTTGGGCCACCCCTGATCTGTCCTGTCTCTCCACATCAATCCTCCTGAGCTTCGGCTGGAGGCCAGGGCCTCACAGATGCCACTGTGTCTCCCACTGGCCACACCCAGCCGGGCCCCCGAGGTGACTGTCTCCTGTGTCAGTGGCCGTGCCTGCCTGATGCTGGGCAGCCTCCTTCCTGGTGCAGAACACACCTCCTCCAATCCGTCCAGGGCCAGAGCCGGCAGTAGCCGCCACACAAATGCTCAACTGTCATTAAACCCTTCAGGGTTTCCCGCTATCCCACGGACACAGGATGAAATGCGGGCTGCGCGCTCCGCTTGGCATCTCGCACTGCTCCTGCCAGCCTGCCTTTCCTGGGCGGGGAGGTGGGCTTGCTCTTGGGCCTTTTCTCTTGCCCTCTCTCTTGCCACAGGGCCCTTCTACACGCTGTTTCCTTTGCCCAAGTAATACCCCCTCATCAACCCCTTCTTCAGATGCTGGCTCACGGGCTGTTTCCTTGTGGAAGTTTTTCCCGAACTTCTGAGCTAGAGGACGTTCTCCTGTTAAGTGGCTCAGTCTCCTTCCGCCACTTGGTACAGCCGAGACCCTGTCTGTTTCTACTAGCACAGGTCCTTCGGTAGTTAGTGCCGACAGGGGCCTCATAAAGATACCTAAGCGGGCATGGTGCGAGCCCGGCGCCCCGCTACTCTGAGATGATGAGGCAGGAGGATCACAAGTTCAAGACCAGCCTGGGCAACGCAGGGAGACCTGGACTCAAAATTTTAAAAAAGGCTGGGGCTATAGCCCAGCATGAAGGCCCTGGGTTCAAGCTCCAGTACTACGCACACACGAACACC